GTGTATACATGTGTACGCTAAGCTGTGTATGTAAGTGAGTGTGTGTGGATGTGGATAGTGTATGTCTATAAAAGTGCACATGGGTGTGGATGTGCGTCTGTGTGCATGTTTGTGCGTGGGTTTATATGTGTACGCATGTATGGTAAATTAAATGTACGTTTAATCTCAGTTGTCTGTGGTGCGGATTCGTTACCATAAATGTGGTCGTCGTCCTCCACAGAGCAATGTTGTTCATCTTCCTCAAAAAGTATCTAATGTTCACTGCATTTCCAATAGGAGTAATATCCACTTCGGTTTTTCACACTCAAAGAGAAGCAATCACTAGACACTTAAATGTACGTTTGTTTATCATTTCTTTCCTGCTCTTGTCTGGTTATTTTCACAGGAAGCTTGTATTTTTCTGTGAATTATTCGTATTTTTGCTCGACAGTATTTGTTAGATTTTGTGCTCAATAACCTGTACTTATAACGATGTGCTTTCTCACCGTACTCATATAGAGCGAGGCGATTGTAACAGGATTAGAAATCCGACCAGGACTCATTATTAGCGGCCACAATTTTCACAAAATAACATATGCAGATGAAACTTGGTTAATAGCAGACACGGAAAGAAAACTACAAAAATCTCCTATAGAAGGTATTGAAAGAATGCGAGAAAAAAGGACTAAACACTTGTCGTATCCTGTCGGCAATCCCACATGAAAAAAAAACGGGTAAAACCTTAAACAGCGATCGTTGTAAAACTGATTCAGGATCTAAAAATACCTCAAAACATCGAAAAAAATAAACGTTCCAAAGCCCAGATGGCAAGTGTACCTGCTGTCGGATGCATATCATCTGTCACTTTCTTTCTCTCTTTAGGCCGAGTGCGACTCTGCTGTGGCCTCTGCCTGCGGACAGAGTCACAGCTGAGGAAAATAATACTTTAAGGTGCCCAGCCCTGAAGAGCAGCTGCCCAATTCGGCATCGTTTCTATTGTGGATTCCGTGAATGGAACCCTGCCCAAATAAATAAACAACGCCAGTAATTGAGATAGAAACATAAGTGTATTAAACGTAAGAATACAGACTCGAAGTGAAGATTAGTAGTCCAGGAATGCAGGTTAGTAGAAAGTATATGTACAATTCTCTGTAAGTAAAGCCGTAATCAACTCTCTCTCTCTCTCTCTATCTCTCTCTCTCTCTCTCTGGACTCTTGTATAACTCTCTGAGAACACCCTGTGTCTGTCTCCGTATCTCTCAACCTGTCTCAACGTATCGCAACGTATCTCAACGTTTCTCAACAGCAGATATTCTCTCTGTCAGTATAAGTATATTTTGGACGAGTCCATCTTATGTAAAAAGGGGAGAGCCCCACAACACTTTCATTGCACTATAAAGGGGTATCGGTGGCTCCATCGAGGCAAGTGCAACCGATCGTTGCGGAGGCTTTGGCATTTTTTTTTTTTTACTTGACCTGAGTGTACGCGCTCGGGTTCCCCACATTAAGCCTAACCTTGTGGGTCATCCCGGCTCAGTAGGGAGGCATGCGTATAAACCCAAGTAACTGCAAGAAGACAAAATGCATACTTGTTAGCGAAACGATGAAATCGAAATTGATAACAAAATCGAACAAGTACAGCAATTTAAATATCTGGGAAGTGTTTTAACAGAGCACAGAAAATGCGACACTGACATCCGAAGAGGCATTGAGATAGCAAAAGATGAATTCCAAAAGATAAGCAGACTATTAAGAAACATCTGAACAATCTCCTTAAAGATGAATAAGTGACTTGAAGCAATAGAATTGTGGTTCTACAGAAAGATGCTGAGGATACAATGGACAGAATATGTAAATAACGACGAAGTTTTAGAGAAAAATGAAAACAAAAAAGAAACTTTACACTTAATATCAGGAAGTGGTAGTTGAAATTCCTATGGCATATAATGAGGAAAGATGGCTTGGAAATTCTGGTACGTACAGGGACAGATTGAAGGCAAGAGAGACAGATGAAAACAACGCATAAGTTACAGAGTGTGATGAATAAATTGTCGTTTAAATTATGCAGAAATGAAACTAATACTAATATCACATTTTAACTGTTATATTTACCAAAATGACAATTTAGGCCCTTAGATGTCAGGGTCGCCATGTCGCCTATACAAGGTGAAATCATTATTATTCTTTTTGTATTCCGTTGGTAAGTAAGAGGTCCCATTCGGCCATGTACTTTTCACGAACCGCTACACTGGCGACCAGAATCACGAGTGGATGCTTCTTTAAGCACTACAGTTTTAAACTCTTCAATTCTAGGGTCTACTGTTATGTATTTTACGTCGAGTGGCTCTTGGGCCTTATATTTGGGTGAGTAATAGTAAAAAAGACAGAAAGTTTTGTACGGAACAGGTTTTCTTCGGATTCAGCTACGGTTCTTGTATGCCATTTTCTTTTAAGCTTCTTACTTTAACAAGACCAGCAGAAAGATCTAAAAAAAACACACACACAAGCCGCTCCCGATCCTAGCATCATTTTAATCGACTTATATCTTTTTAACTTTTTAACGCAGTTTCGTAAAAGAACTTGTGTCGTAGTTTGTTTCGAAATATACATTCTTCTGTGGAAGTGATTGTTGAACAATCTCCCCTCGGATAATGAAAAAAAAAATAAAGGAAAGAGAAAGATCGGAATGAGTAATCATCAAGAAATCCTTAAAGAAAACTCAACAGAAAGGAAGACACATATTCAGAATCAAGGGAAAAAAAAGCTGAAATTCATTGGACACATCATGAGGAAGGAAAATACTTCGAAATGTAATGGTTAGCAAACTTATCTCGCTCAATCAATTACAACTGAGTAATGAGTTCGATCCTTACTGAGTGCTCCACACTTTCAGCCTTATACTACATCTAAGTCAAGCTTAAAAAATCATTTGTGTCCTTCGTAATGGTTCGCAGGCTTGTCAGGCTCGATCAGATGGAACTGAATAGTGAGTTAGAACCTCACTGGGTGTCCCATAGGTTCAGTCTTGTACCAGGCTTAATCTACTCTTGGAAAAGCAATATAACGAGGAAAACATATTGAGGGTAAGAGGGGGGTGGGGTAAGGCAGAAAAGCCAATTAACTGATGAGCTTGTGTGAATGAATGGAAAAACAGGAATCGGGAGCATTAGCAAAAGGAGAAGAAGTGGAACATCGGAAAGGAAGTTGTGGATAGCCATGATCGCTTAGGTTCTGAAGGGACGCGATACATAGAAAAAAGATGAATCTATATTTTGATGCATACATCGGTACTTTAAATTCCTTATCAATTTACTACTTTAATTTATATAAGTCTTAATTCGAATTATTCTACTCGTTATTGTAGCGAAAATAATATATATTTATTAGTTTAAGGTATTGGATTAGCTTAAAGTATGTTACATTACTTGCGTTACACACTTACACACACACACACACACGCACGCACACACACATACATACATACATATATGTATAGGACGGTGGAGTAATGGATAGCGGCTTGGATTGCGGAATCGCAGAGCCGGGTTCGAATTCCAGTTGAATCCATTACTTACGTGCTAATGCCCTTGGGAAAGGTATGAATCCTCTTCTTCTCCCTCCAGCTATGGGTAAAATAGCAGGACAGACTGGGTTCTATAGCCTTGGATGGCAACTGGTCTAGGAGAAGGACAACTCTGAATTCAAAACCTGCGGAGTGTCGTTTGGGAACCTTGTGGCATTCGGAACCTCTGTATTCGTCCCTCCAAAAAGTGTGGATGGTCCTGCACGAGGCCTTCATCACTATAATCAAATCTCATGTGCCGGTGTCGGGCTGTCGGTTTCCTGGGAACTGATCTTCTTGACCCTCATACGTCGAATCTCGACGGGAGAGTCGATTATATATATATATATACACACACACACATAGGGTGCGATGGGTAAATTGTCGCCATTTTATTATATTTTTTTTATTTCGCGCCTGCGTGTTTTTTTGTGTTTTTGTCGATTGTACAGTATAAGAGCACCATCTGTGAGAAAAAGATTGGGTCGCAATTGAGCGAGAGACCAACTGTACTCCTTATCTTGAAGCACAAAAACATGAACTGAAGGCAAGGCTTATGGCAGCATTCACCACCTTAAACCAGGAGACTGTCCAGAAGACTTGCTAAACTAAAATTATTACGAAGCCGTCTGTGTTTGAAGCCAACGGAAACTGTATTGAATAATTTTACTCTTTAGTATTTCAAGATATTTTTTGTGTAATTTTTGTAAATATATATGTTAAAATAATGTCATTTTCGCGTAATTTAGAAGACAATTTATGCATCGTACCCTGTATATGCGCGCGCGCACACACAGGCACCCACATACAAATATACAAACATAAATGCGTATATACACATACACACACACACACATATATATATATATATATATATATGCATACATACATATATATATATATATATATATATATAGAGAGAGAGAGAGAGAGAGAGAAAGAGAGAAAGAGAGAGAGATATATAGATAGATGGATGCCTATTACGAGTCAAGTGTCACTACAACAAATTCCTTTATTGTTTCTTATGTTAACTTTATACAAACACATAATTTTCTATCCTCCGACGTCTTTTTGTTTTTTGATTTCTGTCATTTCCAAACTGTCATTTCATTTATAGACACGTGTTACCGCTTAAATGCTTCTACTCACCCAGTAAGGCCAATGTATGCATAGTCTGATAAATACTGACTTTTATTTATTTACTGCTGTAAAAATTCCCTTCTTACGTACATGTAATACACTGGCAGCACACTTCTTCTCTTCCTTTGTACATTGGCGCACGCGTTCTTTCAATCGTTGTCCATCCGCACATGTTATTCATGTCAGAGTAAAAAAAAAAAAACATCGCTGCTCCTTTGCACACACTCATACAGACCCCCTTACATAGAAACTCGGATATGCTCATATATTCTTATATACGTACGAAAGTATGTGGTTTGAAAATCTGGTGTTAATGGATCTATGAAGAGAATGTAAAGTTACTGATGGTTGTGATGAAGACAGCACTGGTATGATTATTGATTTTCTGAAAGAAAGGAAGAAAGAAAGAAAGGAAGAAAGAAAGAAAGAATGTTGGAGAAGCAGAAGGCACAATGATGAAAAAAGAAAAATGAAGCAAAGAGAGAAAAAAATTATAAACCAAAAGAAAGGGAAATACGGAATCTACAAAAGTGGGAGAATATGCGAAGTAAAAAGAAACAAACTCTGCAAAAGAAATTGAAAGAAAGAAGGAAAGAAACAAAGAGTAGAGGAATTAATGACAACAGGTAAGAAGAAGAAAAAGAAGAAGAAGAAAAAGAAGAGGAAGAAAAAGAAGAAGTAAAAAAGAAAGAAGAAAAATAGAATAAAGAAAAAGAAATAAAGAGAGTGAGTACAGTAGACAGTGAAGTGGAAATGTAGAACTGATTAGAAGGAAGAAGGAGGAGGGAGGAGGGGAGGAGGAGGGGGAAATTATTAGAAAGTATAAAAGAGAGAAAAAATGAACTGACGAATTGGTGTGAGGAGAAAAAAGTATAATGAAGGAAAGAAAAGGAAAGAATTATCACCAAAATTTTTGAGAAAACCAACAATAATGTGAATGAGAACAGTAAACGAGTAAAGAAAAATGTGTCAAAGAAAGAAAAAAAGTAAGAAAAGAAAGTGAATGGAGTAAGCAGTGAGGGAGAGAGAGAAGTGAAAAAAGAATAATGACAACAGAGAAGAAGAAGAAGAAGAAGAAGAAGAAGAAGAAGAAGAAGAAGAAGAAGAAAAAGAAGAAGAAGAAGAAGAAATAATTTGAAAATGAAAGAAACGTTTGATACCCCTGATAAACTAAAATTAAAGGAGAGTAAGGATAGATGGAGAAAAACAGGCGAGAGAGATAGAAGAGTAACCTTGCTTACTCAAGTCACAGTTATGGCGCTTCTGCTCATTGTAACTGCAGCTGCCATCGCCGCCTTCACCGTTGCTCGTGTTTCCATCAAGGAAGAAATCCACTTATAGGCAGCGGAAGTGAGTAGCAGTTGCCGTTTGTAGAATGCTTAGTGTGCAGTGCGTGGTTATTTCCTTGTGTGTGCATCGCAGCTCTTTTCACGACCTATGTATATCGTTCTCTATTGAATATGGAATGTTTCTAGACACAAAGGAATACACAGTATGTCAATATTAGCCAATCAAAATCTAAGGTGATTGCAACTCTGGGCGCGGCACAGTCAGATTTGTAATTCTGAATAAAATACGATGTTGACGGAGAGAAGAAAAAAGTGCTGGAGATATTCACTCAGATTACATATAAACATACGACGAGGTGCTGAAAAGTTCTCTGCTCAACGATTCGGCACTCAACTATATACTCATTTATTTAATGATTTATTAAACAAAGCGTAGATGTTGCATAACGCCAAAAGTATATAGCACCATACTAAGGATCGAACCCAGCACTAATTGATATACCTTCGCACTATTACACCATATCGAAGTGCTCAACCCACTCATTCATATGTGTGTGTGTATATATATATATATATATATATATATATTCCTAATGTACAGCCAGTTAGATCAGGGCTACAGGAATGTAGGACGCACATGGCTAAGATACAAAGACAAGCTGAAAAGCAGTCAATATACCACATAACACCCTTGAGCGCTTAGCCTTGGAGCGGGTAGAATGGAGATTAACGTGTTTTAGTGGACTCAGCAATTTCCAATCTGCTTGTCTGAAACATCTTCAAGAGGCGAGAGCAATATCTAAAAGGTCAGCCAATCTAACAGTGATCTCATCTCACAATCCTCACACTTGCTTTATATGTGGCCTCCTTTGTAAATCCCTAACGGGTCTTAAACGCCACTTAAGATTATCGCACAAAACTTCATAACTGAATCAAGTAAGCTGTCAGATCCTCATACGTCGAAACCAACGGAGTGTCCATAATTATATATATATATATATATATATATATATATATATATATGAAATCCATTTATATGATCCAAGTGACTCCTATTAATATAAAACAATATATTAAAACTGATTTACAGAGAGAGATCAATGTTTTATTCAAACAGAGTATATACATTGTAAAACGATAGGAATTAGGATTTTCAAATTCATCAGGTTATTTTTCTTGTTAACCTTAGTTTTAATTTATAAGAGGAAATGATCATCATCAATATTATGGAGTAATCCTAATTCCTATTGTTTACAATTCATACATACATACATACATCACAATTCATACACACACACACACACACACATATATATATATATATATATATATATATATATATATATATGAAGAAATATAGTTTTAAGGTGTGCTATATTTATGGGATAAAGTGTTCGATATCATAGATAGAGCGTATGTAAATATAGATATAAAAGTGAACATAGAAGTCAACACTCAGAGGCGACAGGCTGTTTCATGCAAGACGCAATCGTCAGGCCGCCTGTCGCCTCTGAGTGTTGACTTCTATGTTCACTTTTATATATAAAGAGAGAGAGAGAGAGAGAGAGAGAGAGAGGGAGAGAGAGAAATGCACATAATCATATTTTTTTAAATTTTGATATATTTATGAGCGAAGGGAAGAAGGCTGGATATCGGATAGAGAAGGTTTGTAGATCGAGAAAGTGTAGACATAGAAATCAACATTGCATATTGACTGGCAGTTTCACTTCTCAATCGACCAACTATACCGTCTACACTTCCCCACCGACTGTTTTAATGCATAGATCCGAAAACCGAGGTCGAATTCCCATCAAGATCGTTACATTCACTTACGCGCAAATGCCTTTGGGAAAGGTGATGAATCCATCTCTTCTCCGTCCAGCTACGGGTTAAAGAACAGGGAGGCCCAGCTTCTCAAACCGTGCTTGGCAACCGGACTAGGAAAAGAACAACTTTGAATTCAAAACCATGATGATAGATTTACACTTGTCACAAAAGCTTGAACGAATGGGCAGCCATTATGCATGGCAACATTTCAACCTGAGTAATTCTGGTAGATAGGCAGACTTTGTAATCATACTGGTCGACAACAAGAGCATTAATAATTAAAGACTTATAAATTTGTTTACCGTAATTCCCAATGTATAATACGCATTTTTTTTTTTGTAAAAAAACATAATAAGCAAAATCATGGGTGCGTATTATACACAGACACAAAAAATCTTTAAATTTGCCGTAAAATAAAATAAAAATTATCATACAAATAATTTAGAATAATATTATTCTATATTTAAAACCAATTTATTATTATTATTATTATCATTATTACTCTTATTATTATTAAATAAGAGTAGGAAACGCTGGCCATAATGAAATTGGAGAGATACAATTTAGAGGGTTTGGTTACCAGACAACGGATGCGTATTATGCATTGCTAGAAGCATTTTCCTACACTCAGCACAATTTTTAGGTGTGCGTATTATGGATGAAGGCGTATTATACATGGAGAATTACAGTAATTATCCTATAAAAGTATCATATGAGGCATTCGTAAGGGTGAACAAATTTGTTTCTTTCCCTATATATTATAGTGGATACTAGTATTTAAAATATACGCCTCATTTTTATTTCAAATTCCTTCTTACGTTTAACAGCTTGCCTAATGGAGAAATCTTAATAAAGACAATGTGTTCTCCGGGAGGAATCGATCCTGTGGCCCACATTTTGGCTGGAAACACTCTTTGATCAGATGTGTTTTATTGCTTTACCGTATTCGAAAGGAGGACCATACAATATCTAAAGAATTAATGAATTTATTTTTAATCCATCATTTTTTATTATTTCAGATATCATTATATATTAGTATTTGAAATAGACACCACATTTTTATTTAAACAGTGTGTAAACAGATCACGGCCGGAGAGCACATTTGCTTAAAGATTTCTCGAATACGCAAAGCCGATAGACGTTAATAGACACTGCTTACATTGAGAATAAGAAATGGAGCGTCTATCTCGAATACCAGTATAAGTAATAACGTCTAAAGTAATACAAATATCGGATTAAAAATAAATCCATTAATTCTTTATTTTATATATATATATATATATATATATATATATATATATGTGTGTGTGTGTGTGTGTGTGTGTGTGTGTGTGTGTGTGTAAGGGAGCGGTTATAGTTGTTCCAACGAGAGAAAAAGTAAAGTCTCGAGTCTCTTCTTCATCTTTGAGAAAATCGTCCAACATTCGCTGCCGTAAAGAAGAACTGATGTCACGTAACAGCTCAGTATTCTTTCTTTTCTTTGTTATCAAAGAAATCCTCCTGTCACGCAATACTCTGCCCAGCTTTTGGAATGTGTTTTGGGCCATCCCAATACGTCTACGGATCTCAGTGTCGCACTTAACGTCCTCTGTTAAAGCGATTCCCAGATATTTAAACTTCCTCGTCTTCTTGATTCTAGTGTTCCCGACTTTCAGATCGCATTTCAGGCTCATTCTCTTACTGACGACCATGCACTCCATTTTCTTGTAGTTTATGCTTAGTCCATTCTTCCCACTCTCCGTCACTACCTTCTGTACGAGGTTTTGTAATTTCATTTCCGTGTCTGCTATCAGTACTGTGTCATTTGCGTGCCTTATGTTGTTAAGATTATGGCCGCCAATGCGAAATACCGGTAGGGTGTCCAATTCTCTCAGGATTGCCTCGTTGTATAAGTTGAACAGGTCAGGTGAAAAGACGCATCCTTGCCTTACGCCTCTTTCTATTTTTTTCATATTTACTGAACTTGTTTCCTATTTGCATACATGCTGTTTGCTGCCAGTATAGGTTCTTGAATATTCTGGAATCTTTCCCCAATATATCAAGGTTGCTGAGCAGTTCCATCAGATATTTGTATCGTATTTTGTCGAAGGCCTTTGCGTAGTCTATGAAATATAGAAGGGCATCCTCTTCTGCATCTTTATCGCTCTTTCTGATAACATTGTGAGCATAAATATCGCGTTCCTTGTTCCGGTGTCTTTAACGAACCCGCACCGTTCTTGTCCAATCTCTGGCCTGATTCTGCTGCGCGCTCTATTCAACAGAATACAGATGATGAGTTTTGTCACGCGGCTCATTAAGCTGATTATTTGGTGGAGTTCGCCTGTAGCAGGCTGGTTATCAACCAACTCTATTGAACCTCAGTCTGTCATGCTATTCAACCCATAGGTGGGGAGAGAAGATATAGATTCATACCTTTCCCAAGGTTAATAGTGTGTATGTGAATGTAACGAACACGACTGGAATTCGAACTCCGCTCTCCAGTTTTTCATACCGAACCGATATAGATTGCACCACAACGCTTTACATCAGCTTGATTGATATCAGTCCCCAGGCGAGTAACTCTTTACACCTTGTTGGTCTGACGTTTACCACTGATATGAAGCGGAATGATTATATTGAATCAATTACTAAAGTATGCATCTAGGTAGCATGGTTCATTGCGTCGTGCAAGTCAATTCTTCTCGCCTTCTTGCATGTATACAAATCTATCATTCATTTGTGCATTGAATATAGCCGCAATTTTTGGTCTGGTGACCCTGCTAGATATCTCGTGAATCTCGACAAAATTCTCGGGCCTAGGATGTGTAGCGATATGAGTCAAGCTGAGGTCTTGTTAAATTTGAAAACACCGGGACTATCAGTATCTGGAGTGAACTTCAAAGTACAAAGGCAAGAGGCTCAGACTGAGAGACAGTCAAACGAAGATGACAGGACAAAGAAAACTGACCATTCCGCGCAAAGTCAAACAGAAGGAACGAAGAGGGTCTTAGAGAAAGACATAGACGACGGCCTCAAAACTGCCCACCACACCATCACTTATCCCTCAACCATACTTAACTCACTAGAAGAAAGTTACTACTAAAAAATAAAATCTGGTTTACTGCTAGAAATTGTTTTATTCTTTTCTCGTGGATAACAATCTGAACGAAGGGTGATTTTTTAGCCACAAGTGTTTAGCTACAAGAAACTGCACCTGTCAACAAACCTGGTGTTTGGTC